ACATTACTGTGGTGGAACATTTCTGACCCTCCAAGGAAAGTTCTTCACTGAAATGGTGGGTGGTCATTGGAACAGGCATCCCAGGGAAGTGTTCATGGCACCAAGTCTGTCAGAGTTCAAGGAGCATCTGGATGATGCTCTTACTCATATGACTTAGTTTTAGGTAGCCCTGCAAGGAGCAGGGAGTTGGACCTGATAATTCTTATTGGATCCTGACTTGAGATGTTCTCTGATTCTATGACAAACCACAGCTCAGATCTCCTGGACCCTGTTGGACGGCCCATGCAGGACAAGCAAAGATCTCTACTTGAGATGTTCTCTGATTCTATGACACACTACAGCTCAGATCTCCTGGGTGGCCCATGCAGGACAAGCAAAGATCTCCTCTGTAGCACAAAGGTGACACAAAAGGCTCATGCTATGCTGAGGCTACAGACCCAGGGGACAGCAAGGTTCAGGTAGAGAATGTGGGTGCTGACCCCCCACAGCAGGGATGAGCTGCTCAGCTGGGACCAGGACAGGCTTTAGCATGGCAAAGGTGGGAAATGCCACAGCTTGGCCAGCATTCCAACCTTAGCTCTAAGGTTTCCTCTCTTCACAGAGGGGAAACACAGTGCACATAAGCAGGATTTGGGACTGCTATAAGGAAGCCTCAGATTTAGTTTCATCTTACATCAGGATGAACTTGAGTTACAAATAAATGAATTACAAAGAAAATTTCAATCAAGTATCAGGCAATTTGGGTTTATTAAGCTGTTCTCAAAGATACTATTCAGAGATGGCTGAACTTTGCATTTCATGGTACTTTCCTGGCACGTTACCTAATGGATGCTGAAGCTCTAACACCTGACACTTTCCACTCCATGGCTGGTCCCTTACATGAAGATTCAGTTTAATGCACTGTACAGCCAGGTTAGGGGAGAGAATATGGAAACTGAGCCCTGCAGAGATGAGAGAATACAGGGAAGCTAGAGGGATACAGGGGAAGGGAGCTAAACTTCTCCTACCAAACCACATGTGGATGAAGAGCCACTAGATAATATGTAAAGGTCTCCTAGAAGCCACACTGCATAGTTAAAGGTTTCTCTCTCTCTGGTGGTGTGGTAACAGAGGGGAAGGGATAGTGCAAATCTGAGATCTGAAAGGAAAACAGGGCACAGGGACATAAAGCTAATAGAATAAAAGTAGAAACCAAGGTTTCCACATACACTGAGGGCTGTATTGACACAGAGTAAGCAGTGCCCCATACAAGAGAAAAGACGACAGGCAAACACAGCTGCTTCCCCATGCTAAGATAAGCAGAAGATGTGGTAGAGAAATCTCCCACCACCAAAAGAAATTAGAATGGAGGGGAAAATAGACAAGCAAAGCAGTGAATATAGCTGGGCAGGAGATCTGGCCTCCTCCCCTCCTTAAAGCAGGTGTAGAAACACCAGGAGAGAATAAAGAAAAACAACCCAACATGTCAGCCTTGATGTTCAGAGAGAAAATACCCCAACACAGACATCAAACCAAGAATCTGCCTCCATTTACAGCTCCCACAGAGGAGGTGGTGGTTGAAATAATGCCTAGAAGCCAATATCCAGCAGAACATGAGGACAGGAAAGGTGCTCCTACCTTTCCATAGCCCTCTAGAAGAGTGCTGATGGCTGGTTTATCCTCCCTGCTGCTCCTGGGACGAGAAGTGCAAAGGAGAAGAGCTGCTACCTGCATTGAAAATTAGACAAGCAATTATTTAGATATTGGCTTCCTTTGTATAGAAAATATATCATTGCCTCAGACTGGTTTCCCTGTCTATGAGCACTTCAGCTCAAGGGATAATCTGAATTTAGTTATTGCCATGAAAACTTAATCCAAAGAGCACCTCTCTGCTTTGGAATATGTCATGGCATCTGAGTACATTAGGTTTAGTATCATGCACATATTGAATTCTTGGTATCATAGTATGTTAAGGGGTTGGAATGGACCTTAGAGATGATCTATTCTCACCCCCCTGCTCTGGGCAGGGACAGCTCCCACCAGAGCAGGTTGCTCAAGGCGTTAGCCACCCTGGCTGTGAACACTGCCAGGGTTGAGGCAGCCACAGCCTCCCTGGGCAACCTGCGCCAGTGTCTCACCACCAATTGAGGAACCTGAGTATGGGTTTCTGAAGAACAGGCCAAAGTGTACCCAACAGGCCTCACCTTCTTCAGAGCACTTTGTAAGACAAAATTTCCTACAGAAATGGGAGCAGCCAATTCAATCAACACTCAATCACACCACCAGGGACATGAAATGACTCTGTGAAAGCTGAGAGGAAAATAAAAATAAACCCAAACCCCAACACAAGTTCTCTTAGCAATGATCACAAGAAAACCTATCAACACTCTGCCATCCTCAAACCCAGCAGTCGCTTACTGTCCTCCAGATCACTGTAGTCTTGGAAAACAAGCTCAGCTCTGGCAAATTCTTCTTCCCTCCAATCAGGCTGCACATTGCTGATACATTTCTGCTCCTCACAGGGCTCAGGTCACAGCATCACTACCTGTCCTCGACAGCAGTGGCACACTCAGCTTTGGAGTCTCTTCCTCTTGAATCCAAGCCTCAAGATGAATAAACTGCTCCACAGCAAAGTATTTTAGTCAGTCCCCCTCCTCTGGAGGCTCACTTCAGTTGAGGGTAGCATGTAGCTGTGGAGATTTAATGCCAATCCTGCTCATTCTCCTAGATTGATGTGTCTGTCAGGTTTCCATTAATCCTATTTTAACCTCCTCCATGTGCTCCTTCATTTAGAACTGCTTGTTCTCCATACCCTTTTAGTTCATGTCTTCATTTCTTACCCTCTGTTTCTATATCTAGATCTTGTATTTCCAAGCACTTCCATTTCCCAATTTTTGTGCTTTATTTGTGAAGTATTCTTACAGAACCCCAACCCCTTCCTGCCCTCTGTGCATATGCAAACATGACACAATACCAAATCATCTTAATAAATTACAGGACTTGTGGAAACACAGCTTATTTGCCAGCCTACAACAGTTTACTGCAAAGCCACTTTCCCCAATTGTAGGCAACATAATTACACAGACACACACACTCCCCCTGCTCTCGGGCAGTACCTTGGCTGCCAGCCTGTTCAATAAATGCTGGGTGGTAGGAGGGAATATCAGACAGGCAATACTTTAACTCATTATATGAACATTCAAAGATATGTTTGTATTTTAGATACTATTTTATTGCTTTCAGAAGCCACTGGAAATATTTTTCTAAATTACATGCTAGAGCTCTAAACTGCAAAATGTGTGAAAATTACAGTTGCCTGCCCCATCCCAATCCAACTTGTATTAGAAAATGAATTTCATGACAACACAGCCTTCTCTAGACACAGAGCGTGTGCAGAGGGAGGTTTCTTAAAGGAAGGGGAAAGCTCACACCAGTGATCAATTTGGTCAGTAAAATTACTTTTATTCACCAGTGATCAATTTGGTCAGTAAAATTCCTTTTATTCTCTTTTCTTTTTTTTTTTTTAAATAGAAGGGCTTATACAATTGAGTATAAAGATATTGGAAGAACATGGAAATGAAATGAAAAAAAAGTGTCTGGAAGGAATTCTTTTTATTGAGGACGAGTTTTACATATTTAAGTATTCATCTACTTTTTGCTGCCTCCTGTTAACAGGCATAATGGGAATATTGCACTGAGCATATGCATGGAAAACACAGCTAATAAAGCAAGGAATATGGGAAATACATCTCATACAACCTTAAAAAGATCCAAACAATCATACAATGAATTCTGTAGCACTTCTGTGATCTGCAGTCTCAAGACGATGTTTCACTGTTCGGAAGAGTTTACAAATTGACACTTTTTTTGTAGAAACGTTTTTGTATTGGTTAATAAAACCACAGCCTTAAAATTGTTGGCTTTCAGTTACAGAGGTAAACAGAGAGGTATCATCTGAATTCATATCAGAGCATTTGAAACTAAATGGCAGCAGTACAAGCATGTGCCTCCTCCAGTGTCCAAACCTCTTTGTGGCTTTGCCATGGCCAAGGAATAGAGCAGCACAGCTCAGCAAAGCAGCCAGTCCCCCCCAAACACTTTGAGACAGTCTGGCATTTGTTTCTCTGGTTTACTGATCTAATGGTCTGCTAGATATAAAACGAAGCAGAAGAACCTCAGCTAACCAAGAGAAGTTCCACAAGTCTGTCAATATTGATGACAGCTGGGAATTCACCCACAAAAGAGGAAAAGAGAATTATTTGACCAGCCCATGAAGTAAATTCATAGAAATGCTGCTCTGGAGATGGGAGAGAAAGAATGTTCAATAACAGATGCTGAGCCCACAGTAGGAATAAAGTGTTGGAGCAGATTTGTTCAGGGATGATATAGGTGAGATTGAAGACACAAACCACAGCAGTGCCAAGCTGGTTTCCACAAGAGCACACTCTGGAAAAAGGTTTATTTACAACAACTTTTAATTGCTCATGGGAAACCCAGCCCAGATGTTTCAAACATCCCATTCACTGTGGGACCATGTCAGAATCACCTTGAACAAACACTGGAGCACAACAGACACAGAACTAGTTTGTGTCCAATAACAAAATTGTGATGAGTGGAAGAGCAGCTTCTGCACACTTCAACATTTTATTTTGCTCAGGCACTGAGGATCAATTTCCTTCGGCATGGGAATTTTCCACTCTAGGTTTTTGCTAGAGCCATTCCTCCCACATAGGAAAAACTGGGCTACATTTTATCCTTTCACTTCATTAGAATTGGAATTTATTTACATACAAAACGAGAGACAGGAGTTCTCTTATATTAACCCAACAATGGGCACCTTCACCTTATAATCAGGATGCCTTAGGCAAGGCAGCTGAGTTTACTTCAAGAGCAGATAAAATTCAGTATGTATCAAACAGGAACAATAATCAGATCATACAATGCCAGTACATTCCAGTGGGCCCTGGATTATTAGGTAAAAAAACCCAAAAAACAACAAAGCCGGATTATTAGGTAAAAAAACCCAAAAAAACAACAAAGCCAAAGAATAAAAAAAAAAAAAAAAAAATAATCCAAAACTTGTCACCACTTTAGTTGTGTTTAGAAAGCTACACAATGAATAAATTTACATCTTTCTGGGATAGTGTTGCTTTTCCTCCTACATCTCAAAGAAATTCCAAGCTAATTAATTAGAGCAAGAAATTACATTGAGCAGGATAACGTTTTAAATGAAAGAAATGACTTAGAAACACCAATCAAAGATAATTTGATTATGATTAGCTGTGCTGAAGTCTAAGTCATTAAAATTGATGAAGAATGTTTTTACACTGGTCTAGTCTATGTAATCCATTCCCTACGCTATGCTCTGTAGTTCAAGTCTAACAAATGGTATCTGATAATTCAATATTGGAGACTAAAATACTTTCAATGCACCACTTGCTTTCCTACACCAACATGTTTCCAATTAAAAATATCAGTGGCAAGTAGAGTTGTGAAATCCTTCACTGGGAGAACTTTAGCTCACATGAAATACCATTCAGATTTTCCCCTGCTTGCCTTCTACATTGTCAGGTCTAAGTATGGCTGCTGCTTTAATCTGAACAGTCCTTACCACAAAGTGACACCCATGGTTGGTAAGGAATCATTCCCTGTGCTTTCTAACAACTGAGGCCTGCCCCAAGGTACAAGATTTCTTGCCATGCTCTCAGCTGAAGTGACGAGCGAGACGAGCAGACCTATAATCCACACGCAGCTGAACAAAGGAGTGAAGGATGTTCTTGTCCAGATTAGCAAGTTGTTCTCCTGAGCAAACTTGCTTTAAATTATCTGGGGCTACAACCAGAAGATTGCAAAGTGCATGCAAGGTATCAAAGAGCTGTAACACCAACGCAATCTGTGGGCAGGAGAAAAGAAAGAGAAAACAGATAAAAATAATTAGAGTTGCTTCAAGTGTTAAACACAATGTCCACCTACATCTTCCAAATCATCCTGACAAAGGATTCACATCCATCATTCTCTCCTCATGCACATGCTTACCTTGAAGTCTTTGGCACACTTCCTGTACTCAGCCACATCACAAATGGCTAACATGCCTCCCATGCAACTGTAGGAATATTGCTGCAGGTGTTCATAGATCAGGCGATGAAAACGAACTCCAAGCTCCATCAGAACTGTGTCCACGTTCTTACCATCCATGGAATTTCTGATCTTCTCCACCTGTTTCCTAACATAGCCACAGACTTTAACACAAGCCTAAATGAAAAAAAAAAATAAAAAATTAAGTAACTTTCTTAATAGAAATCTGTTCTTCTCAAAGTCACTTCCACATCATATTCTGAAAATCACACACTGATCTCCAAACTTTTCAAAACACATTCATATTCTGAAAATCACACACTGATCTTCAAACTTTTCAAAACCACTGAAATCGGTCATCTTCCAATTAATAATTTTCCAGCAGGTTTTTATTTGACACAGAAAGACGCAAAAATATGAGTAGAAAGACAACATACAATTTATAGTTCATAGAATGTGAAGGGGTTGGAACGGACCTTAGATCATGCAGTGCCAACCCCCTGCCCTGGGCAGGGACATCTCCCACCAGAGCAGGTTGCTCAAGGCTTTATCCAACCTGGCTGTGAACACTGCCAGGGTTGGGGCAGCCACAGCCTCCCTGGGCAACCAGTTCATCTCAGCTCAGAATAGAACAGTTTAACTTGGGCTTTGAATTCTCACAATGACCCACTAAAGGGAGGGTATGATTACAAACCTCTCATCAGCCACAACTCAACTCCCGTCTTCACCCTTCCCATACAGTACCACACACCACATCCTACTGCTCCAATTCTCCCATCCCCACCTGACTGCAGGCACTCAGGGAATGCTCTCACTTCTTCCCAATGAGTTTGTTCTCTACTCCTCTCTGCATTGTTCCCTAACAAGGGCCAAATGTGAGCCACCACTACAGCAAGTTAGCAGCCCTAGGCTGGAATTCAGACTCAGAGACAAAGAATGTTCATGCTGTACCTGTGATGCTTTGTCATGCTCTTGTCATTCTGAGGGGAAAAAGCACCCACTAAATACAGAGTACCTGATAATTGATTTTCTGAAACTGATAGCTTAAAGCTAATTATCAGCTAAAAGCCTTGTTCCAAATCTGGGCTTCTTGGGAGGGAAAAGAAAGTGCCAGTTCCTCTGGCACCTACTGATTCATGTCTGACACTAGATACAAAATTGCTCATGCTCCTTTCCAGCTTGAGAAAATAGTCCACAACAGTTTGCAGCTGCTTGGTGCAAAATGGAAGCAAATTAAGAAAATGCACAAGTTGTCTAATGCATGTTTGGTAAGGAACATCTTGTACCTGATAACACTCTTGAGCTTGACTTTACTTACATTAGTATATTGAATCAAAACATTGTTCTCATCTTCTGGTTTAAAATCTGTCTTCTTTTGCTCTGCAGCCAAGATGTGCTTCATCTGTCCAATCATACAATTCAGTGTCCTTTAAAGTTACAAATACAGATTGGGTTTGGAAGGGAACATTTTCAATTCCTTGATTTTTATAGTTACAGATACTAACATGATTCTGTACAAAAGCAACAGCATAAAGCAGTGAGAGGAAAAAAAAACACCTAACATTTGAATAATCTACAGAAGATACACTAAAAGCAAACATTTTAAGAAGCAAGTGGTGCTAGGGCATGTCAGAGAAAGTACTTCATTTAACACACACACACACTCTCTTCTGGAGTTGCAATGTAATGCTATGGAGTAGTTATGCTTGATTTTATGTTAGCAGTTAGAAAAAGGGCCATAAAAAAACTCAACAAAAACCAACAAACCCAAACCCCTAAAAACTCCAAGTTTTTTTCCTCCAAGTTCAGTGCCTTGTAGCACAGCACCTAGGCTGCAGGCCAGCTCATTTTAAAGGGACACATTAATTGTAAGGTAATCCATTCAAATCCAGCTCTTGAGAGAAATTGGATAGCATACTTCAATGCAGAGGGAATCAAATCCAAAGGAAGCATTCCAAAGAGTTTAGGAGAATTAGATCACATTGCATATTAGTCAGAAGCAAGCATCAGAAAACACTTGGAAAATGAAGGAGGGGTGGGAGGAAAGGAAAAACCTCTTCCTTTGCCAGAGCTCTTGTTCTCAGAAATCTAATGGAGTTTTACAGTGTCATTTATTTCTCCCTTATAGGATTTATCTGTTCAGAACATTATCTAAGGTCAAGGCCCTGTTTCCTTTAAGTCCAAAGCAAAGGTCAAACAGCAAAGCAGCAGAGAGAGGCTGCAAACCTCTCCCAGTGCCTGCCTTAGCCAGGAACATCCCTCTGACTCTTTTCCCTCCTCTCACCTCTCCAACCTCCCTGAAGAAAAGAGTCAAGGCCATTACAGGCCTTGAAGGATTCAAGCTGTGGTGAAAGGGAGAAGAATGTATGTATCCAAAGAGGGAACAAACTTCCTTTTCTTCTATGCATAGAGCTCCGACTTGCATTTCAGGTGTATTCATTCAACAATCCACTCACCAACAGAAATCTAAAGAAATTGTATCTTGCATTCTCCTCAGCTTCCATTTGCAATCAATACTCTCAGAAGGCTGTTTACACAGAATACATTCTGAAGGAAAACCAGCTGAACTGATTTTGTTTGGCTAATAAATAAATCACTTTTACCAAGGTAGACAATTGCTGTGAGTGGCAGTCAAGAAGCTGCACTTGGAATTTTTCAGATTGGATAAGGCTGAAACCATCAATGTTTAGAAATTTGCTTTTATTTTTTAACCTCAATCATTCCTTTAAGCAAAACAATCAATTCTCAACAGCATCAGTGGCACCACAAAGCAGCATGAAACAAGCACACAAACACATTTCACATGTAACATTCATCTCTAAACTAATCTCTCCTTTATTTTGAATCCTCCATCCACAAACCTTTGAACACACTGTCTTCCAACAGGGGCTTCTTCTCTTAGTATCACTTCTAAGAGAGAAATTATTTTACACAAACAGTTACAGACTATTTTAATGCTGATGACCAACCTGTATCTGTCTAGATCTAAGTTTATGGCCTCAAAGTTCCAAGTATTTCCAACTTTGTTTTTAAACCTCTAAGGTCACTTGCAGCAGGAGCAGTTAAAAACTCAGTTGCCACTTCCACATCCCTATTTCCACCTTTCTTTTTGCACTTCCAGCAATAACACACCGAATCAAAAGTAGGGCATCACACAACAGCTCCAGTTCCTCATATTAAGCATGTTAGTTTATTATTTGCCTCTGCTGCAAACAGCTGTGATTTAAATTTACAATTTTTCCAGCTCTCCCTCATTTTTACTTTTGAGAAACAGGAAAAAAAAAAAAAGATTAAATGAGTCACAACCTCAAAGCAAGTCACTGTCAGAATCAAAATTATTCCAGGTCTACAGACTTCTATGACTAGGTCTAATCCATAGCACTGCAGAGATTCCAGCAAATCATCTAACCTATTTTTGTCAAACTTTGCTCCTAATGGAAATCCTGCAAGTCTTTAACCTATTTCAATCATCATTTCTCCCTCTTTAAAGTAGAAAAAACTAGTTTGAGACAATAAGGTAAAAGTGAATTATTTTACTCTTTCAACTTAACCAAAATCCTATAACATCCCTCCAGAAGTATTTAGGGGTCAGAAATCTGCCATGGAAAACATGACCCTCTCACCACACAAAATCTAATTTTCTTATGCACAATAAGCATGTTTTGCTATTTTAAAACATATTAAAGTATTCATTCTGTGTTCAGGAATAAGTCATGTTTAAAAGGACAGTTAACATGCATCACAAAGGAGTTCTACAAGGATTAACGCTTAACAAAGTTTAAATTTCTACTTGCCTATCAATGCCCATATCCAGCTTCACCTCCATCTGTTCTATGATATCCTTTTTCTTCTGAAGGCATTCAGATAATTTAGGAGAAGAACTGCAACAGTACAGAAAGTTGGATGTGTGACAGTGTTAAAACATCACAACAAATTTATCTGCTGGGTTTGATGCTCACAACAGGATTTAGTGAAGATCTCCCATCCCAGCAGAAAGGGCCCCCAAGGCACAGCCACAAACCCCCTCTAGTCCCACCTGAAATGCAGCAGTGAGGTCTGCAAGGAGCAATGAGTCTCTCTTTCCTATCAATACTCTTAGAGCTCACTCTCTCCCTTTAGTTTTCCAAAGAACAAATTTAACTTCCCTTTTCCCCCTCCCATTGTAGCAGTTTATCTCCCACAATACCAAGTTGAACTACTCCAAGCATAAATTCCTCTTAATAGAGAAGTGGAAGGAAAAAATAGCTTTCTTCACCAAAAAAGACAATTCACAGAGGAAATGTTAATCGAAACAAAGGTACCTGATTAATGGCATCAGATGATCATTGAACTGCTTGTCAAATAAATGGAAAATAGTATTGGCCTGGTGGACAACATCCAAGAAATAAAGATTTGCATTCCTTGAATCAGAAGAGGGAATGCCTGAAGCAAAGAAGGTTTCATTAGGATTGTAACGATATGCAGTTGCTCTAATTAGCATGAGGACTTTTTAAATATGCAGAATTTTTCCATGAATGCTTCAATCACAGGCTTTCAACCAGAGGCTTTCAAAAATTTACCATGGTGCCATATATAGAACACTTCTCACAGCTATATTGGGTACCAAGAATAGGCACAGAAATACCTTAATGTTCAAATTTCTGAAAGCAAAACTGAACAGTCAATTTAAAAACTCCTTCAGAATCTGAGTCTGATGCTGTCATGTAAGAAGAGAGAAGAGAAGGTTGTGTGGGGACCTCCTAACAACCTTCCAGTATCTGAAGGGGCTGCAGGGAAGCTGCAGAGGGACTCCTGGTTAGGAACTAGAGTGACGGGACAAGAGCAATAGGGAGAAATTGAAAGAGGGAAATTTAGATTAGGTATTAGGAACAAGCTTTCCTTGTGAGGGTGGTGAGACACTGGCACAGGTTGCCCAGGGAGGCTGTGGCTGCCCCAACCCTGGCAGTGTTCAAATCCAGGTTGGATGAAGCCTTGAGCAACCTGCTCTGGTGGGAGGTGTCCCTGCCCAGGGCAGGGGGTTGGGACTGAGTGATCTCTAAGGTCCATTCCAACCCTTTAACATACTGTGAAAGGTTCTCACTGCCAAGACTTTAATTTCTTTAAACAAGCAGTTTTCTTATTTACCATCAGTCTAAAATACACAGGTATACAAACAAACATGGGACTCTTACAAAACTTAAGACACTAAGCCTCAACATAAAAGTATTCTCTTGTTATGGTGCAGAGAACAATTAAAAGGGGCAGGAAGTGCTGATGTCCCAATTTCTGTGGTAGAACCATTTGTAAAGACAGCAGCATGTTTCCATCTGAGCATCAATACCCCAAATGGAGTTACACTTTAGAAGGCATTGAATGTTGATTCCCAAACCCACAGAGTGAATTTCATTTCCCCAACACACCCTGAACAAGGCCAGGCACTAAGGCACAGCAAAGACCTGCAGAGATCATCTGCACAAAAAGGCCAATGAGATGAAATGCTCAGAAAACACTGTACTCACCAGCAAGGCCTGTTTCTAATGCATAATCGATGTGCTCAGTACATAAGGACTCTACAAGCATAGAAAAAATTCTGAAAGCATTCTTGGGTAAGTCAGAGGGATCAGAGAGCTTGAAAGAAAAAGAAAAAAAGTTATCCTAAAGGTCAGTTCTACATATATTTGAAAATTTATTCAATAGGGGATAAGCTTAAAATGCAATAAGTATTCCAGAATAATTGGAGGTTTATTTTAAATGAAAAGTATCTGTACAGAGAATTAGTTAGGAAGAGCCTTTAGCATCAACAAACCTGCAGCATTTACCACTAAACTGAAGCTACCACAGGGTGCTACAAGAAGCAAAAATATAAACAGTTTCTCATAATAGCAAGAGTAATAATAAAGGATGATACTAATTAATACCCTTAAAAAACCAATTGTCCAGATGCAATCTCAGGAATTACCCCTGGATGCTGGGAAATGTATACAGGAGCTGACTCTATCCATACCCTGTATTTTTGTTCCTTCACTAAGCTCCTGCCACTGGGCACAGTGAGACCCAGGACATGGGGCAGCTGGACCTCCAGCTCCAGTTCTTTTAGCATTGCAGCAAGAATAATTCAGGCTGAAGCTCAGCCACACGTAGCACAGTTCAGCTGGAGTCAATGGAGCATGAACAGTTTTATTAGGTGAAGCAATGCCCACGTTTACACACAGCATCTGCACTTCCCTGAGCTGTAAGCAATGTGGGACTTCAGGCAGCAACCTGTAAATCCCTTTGCCAAAGAAAACCTTGACAGGGCTTTTATACATGAGAAATACAGCTTTGGCTTCTAAGGAATTAGGCGAAAACTTCTATGAAACTAGGAGGAAGAAAGGTTACCACTGCAACTCAAGCTAATTTACACAACACTCATTTATTTCTGCTGTATTCCCCCTTAAAACATCCCAACAACAGAGACTTCCCAACACTGAAATTTTCAATATATGGTTTATTCAGAATTACCAACTTCCTTTTCCTAAGCAGTCACAGCTGGGACAGACAGTGTATCTACACACATCTGCTTTGTGACATAAATATCACAGTCAGTTACCCAGGGACATGGGTAACTTCCCTCATGCATAGTGAGTTGCCTTGACCACAAAACTCTCAATTCTAAACCTCTAATTCTAAGAATCTCCTTCCATGCCAAGATCCATTGAGGTTTCTACCCCAACACAAATATTTTTAGACCAAGTATCAATGAATCTGATCCCAAGAAGGCAAAAAAAAAGTTAGGCACATTTGAAAAGTTACTTTATATCACAAATGTAGCAACTGTGATATGGAGACAGACACTGATCTACTTGCTTATCTTACAGTCACTGATTATCACCACTAGGAAGGAGATCCCAGGGCGTGCAGGTAACAGTGCTGTGTCTGTTAGATACTTGGCTAAGCTTATAAAACATTAAAACTTCTAAATAAATGTTAAATTTTTTCTGCCCTAAAATGTTAGAAGTATTAATATTTGCTAGAAGTCAATGTGTTTAGCTAATAAAAAAATTGCTAGCATTGAATTTTGTAATTAAATTTCAAGGGTTTCATTTACACTAAGTGCCAGACAAACATGACTGACAGGCAGTAAAACTTGCAATTTAATCAGAAGTAAAATACTTTTTTTTGGTTAGACTAAAGTATTTCAAGAACAGTAGAGGGTTACTGAGGTAAACAATGTTAAAGACTATTCCTCCCTGCATTTTACTGGTGATCATTCACTAATGAAGAAGAAATGACACAGGATAACAATTGCTGAACTATTTGCTCTATTTTTATGCAGGAAGAGAAATCCACACCAAAGGCTCCTCAGGTCTTTAGTGTAATTTAGCCAGAAAAGCAATGTAGGCAGCAGGTTTAACCATCCATCCTCAATTCTTCCAAAAACAGACAGTATTAAACCCCACGAAATACAACTAGACCCACATATGAAAGCAAACCCTCAGCCTCTACTATGATCCTGTTTCAGTGAAAAACACAAGAGAGAATTAGTTTAGCAATGTCCTTTCTTCTTATCACACCTCAATCAACAATTTAACCTCAGGATTTAATTCACACCCAAAACTGTATCACTAATGAAGATCACAGGAAGCAAACTTACCCTGTGACATCTTTCAAAAGCTTGTTTGGTTTCTTGCAAAAGGTTAACCACCACTTCTTGTGACAGAAAAGTTTCTCCATGTGTGTCAATACTTGGCCCCAATGGTAAGTTTGTTCGTTGCCTTAGTCTCTCCTTGAGGTCTTGAATACTACAACAAAGATAGACCCGAAGAAGATTACACTGGATGGAAATTTCGATACTCAAATTCAACACTGATTTAGGATATTTGAGTTGTTAACTTACAAGACAGAACCCAAGACACAGTTTAGGAGATGCAAGCATTAAGACAAGTCTTGCAAGCTTTAAAACAAATTGCCAGTAAATGCAAAACTACCAACTCTGATTTTATCAGCAGCTATGTTCCACCATGGCACAGTCACACATGGGACCAGCTATTCCTTTCTGTGGAATAACAGTAATTCCAATGGAATCCTATGGCTCCATGGACGAAGTTTAGCCTCCACACACTCTGTCACATTGTACTGTCAAAACACTTATGAGTGCTTTCCATCTCATTCATGCTCACAAATCCTCTCATCCTCATCCACTATCTCAGCAGTCCTTTGTTTAGCCAAGCATGCTCTGACACATTTCCATGCAGAAAACATCCCATACACTTACTCACAACAATAAATTTAATTTTCCACAAGAAAATTAAATTTTCATCTTTGTTTTTGTCTTTACATTACTCTGCTGCTGCTTTTTCCATATCACTTCTCATTCCTGACACACTGAACCCAGTAGCTCTTTGAAAGGTGCAGTAGACTCAGCACCTTTGCTCCACACAAGCTTTAATTCTTCCTAGCCCACTTCTCACTACTCCTTTATTAGTTTCTCTACCCTGAGGATAATGAAGTCTTGTTTTACCTTTCTCTAAGTCCATTGCATCTTCTGGGCTCACTAAGAGCTTTCTCACTGACATTGCTATGGTCTTTTCCCCTTCCTAGGTCTTGGGAGGGGACCACAAGACCTGGGCAGGTGAAAAAAAATGTATGCTTTTAGATACACACATATACATGCTTTAGGTACCTTAGTTTTGCTTCAGTCCTTTTGTGGATCTGGATCCTAAGTTGAAACATAGGTTTAACTGGAATTTTTCATTTCCCATAGGTATAAATACCAAGCATCACCTTTCACATATACTGAGAGCAACACAATTCTTAGCAGAACATTAAGTGAAAGCAAATAATAAAGAGCTATAGGTCTTCTTCAGTTCATCACTGTACATCTGAATACATGGAAAATACAATGTTTCTCCCCTTACCACCTCCCTTCCATTTTAAAAGCACAAAACTTCCCAGAAGAAACTTACCCTCCAGTGCCAATGGACCTCTTCTGGTGGTTTTTGGAATCATAGTAGCGTTGCAGAATCATTGCACTCCGACTTTTCAAATAGCCAATTTCCACCTCAATGTAATTCTCCAAGTAGGAAATGAAAATGGATTTGATAAGCTTAGACAAGAAAGTCTGCTTATCAGTACCCAAGTTAAACTCCATCAATTTGCTTGACAGATTAGTGGTTCTTTATGCAAAAGAAACAAAGAAGGGAAGAGAAGGAAAAGGTTGAATTTGGATGAATTGCAGCATTAGATGTTTGTAAAGTCACAGCATAATCTTGATGGTAATTAAAACAACAGAACTCTGATCGTGATTAAACTTGGAGCAGTTTTACATTTAAGTGAAGAATTTTACTTAAGTCATGTTTAATTGCACAGAGCACAACTACAACCAAGTTGCAGAGGGATGGGGAGGATTGGCTGCTGCACAGTTTTTAAGTGACTCTCAAGAGATCTCTGTACTAAATACTTCCTATTAAAAAGAATAAAGGCACTTTTAACTTTTCTTTGGCAAAGTCATCAGTGCAAAAGTTAATGGCCACAAAATGTTTGCAGTTTTTATGTTTTCATTTTTTGGCTTCTACATCTTCATAACAAACAGATCTATCCAAAGAGATTATCTACAACACTGATATGTAAATACCTTGTATATAGATCATAGAGATTCTTAAGATACTGTTCTGCATCTGATTTCCTGTGTTCTTCTAGCTGGTCCTTCACATAACTCTGGAAAATATAGTACATCTGTTAGAAGATCAACTGACAAGCACAGGTTGTACTCACTACTTGCTAGATTATACATAGTTTACTGCTAACTGTAGTAGTTTCTCAAGGTAATTTGTCTACCTTTTGTTTTTACCTCTCCAATTTGCACATCCTGCATTACCTACAAAGATTTAAATGCATCTTTTGATGAAGAGAGGCTGAGGGAGCTGGGGTTGTTTAGCATGGAGAAGAGGAGGCTCAGGGGAGAACTTATCACCCTCTACAACTCCCTGACAGGAGGTTGGAGTCAGGTGGGGGTTGGTCTCTTCTCCCAGGCAACCAGCAGCAGGACAAGAGGGCACAGACTCAAGCTCTGCCAGGGGAGGTTTAGGTTGGATATTAGGAAGAGATTTTTATTTTTTTAATGGAGAGAATGATCAGGCATTGGAATGTGCTGTCCAGGGAGGTGGTGGATTCACCATCCCTGGAGGTTTTCAAGCTGAGTCTGGATGTGGCACTCAGTGTCATGACTAGTAACCACAGTAGGGTTGGACTCAATGATCTTGGAGGTCTCTTCCAACCTGGTTGATTCTATGATCTTTGAGAAGAAAATTATTTCATAATATAAAGCAGCAACATGTGAAGCAAAGACAACAGACAAATGGTTTTGAAAACACACTTGACCAACTAATACAAAACCCCCTTATTTTAAGAAGCAAAAGCCCCAGAGGCCTTGGGGGTATTTCTGCACTTGACAGTAAGCAAAGGAGATACGGACAAGATTCTTACTGATCATGGTACATACACGAAGTAGAGACGTGCTTAGAGCCTTCTTGTCATTGAATATTTGGACAAAAATATTATTTACCATAAAACACTAAGTCAAAACTGACAGACAAAATTGGGGTTGCAACACAAGCTCAATCTCTACACTATACAAAGAACATCAAGAGGGAAATTGCTTTTTGCAAGGAATACTCATGTTGCTGAGTTTAAGCATTCAAGTGAGTGTATCTGCAGGATGGAAAACTTAATATTTTCAATTATTCCAGATTTTCATATAAATATTGCATTAGCTGTGAGACAGTATTCACAACAGTTCTTTTCACTTAGTCAATCCTAACCTCACACATGACACCCAATTCCAAGAATGAGCAAATTAAAGATACTTATTAAATGTGAAACTCCTTTTCCTGACATATTCTTGGTAGGGGGCATGGAGGAGAAATCAAATACACATATGACACCTCATGAATTAACCAATGAACCTACTGATTCTCTAATAATTTTACATATTGGAGTATTTTCAGTCCTCAAGCACAAGCAGATTTATTTGATACAGCCTTGATTATCTGTTACAGAGCAATGAGTTATGATTCTACACTCTTAGACAAGATTACAAAAATTCCCCTTAATTGCTGTGACTAGATAACAATATTTTACTATTAAAAACTTCCTCGACATTTTAAAGTTTGAAATACCTGAAGTTTAACTTCAAAGATATTTTGAATGAGTTTGGCTAGCACAGTCTCTGGATTGCTAAAGATTTCTCCAACTTGCTTATTCACTCGCTGGCAGAGAATGGCTGCATCTTCAAAGACATCATTCCTCAGGAATGCACCCTGGAAGCACATTTCATAACATACTTACAACAACCTCTATGACCAAATAAACCAACCCCCAAAGAGATACATGTAAGTCAAACTGCATTACCTCTTGACACTGTTTTATGTACACATCGACGCAATGGGAATAGCCCTAAGGAAAGAGCAGAACAACTCAGTGTTAGGGCAGGGTGTCCATGTTTTCAGGATAGAAAGAAATTAAGAGAATATAATACCTGTGAGAAAGTTGTTGCAAAAAAATATAGATTCATTGGAAGCGCAGACTTTTCCAAACTCATTGCTGTTACAGATCTAACATCACTTCACTTACTGCCACTCTACATGAACACCACAAGTTTCAACACTTTCTCAAGCATGAAAGTTGACACACATGCAAGAAAAGATTATCTCAGAACATTCTCTGCTGATGCTGCCTCCAATCCCCCATCATCTGCCTCCTTTATTCCCCTGCATGTGATTTCAGATTGAACATCTCAGTACTTCTCAGGTTTTATGTGTTATCTGACATGGTGGTTGTGCCCATGCAAATAGGCTCACTTAAAACAGGCTCTTATTATACTGTGGGTTAGTTTATTCATGTATTTAAATTAAACCCCTTAGTTTTTACCTTAAAATGAAGCAAAACTGCTGCTACTTCTCTCATTCTGGAGATTTCGCCTCTCCGCTGTGCACTGGTAAACTCTTGAATTAACTGGCACTCTAAATCGTGGTACTTACCTGGGGAGGAAAGGGGATAACAACAGAAATCCATCAGGCACAGATAAAAACTGTAATGCTGACAGCATTGCTTACTCCTTTAATCATCTTTAACAATTCAAATATAGGAATAGGGATTGAACTGGATAGATAACTTACTTGCTATCTTTGATTTTACTTCAGAAAACCTGTTAACAACAACGAAAAAAAAAAGCCTGATTAAATTCAAATCCACATCACAAGGGAAATCACAGGCACCCTAGATCAGGAGTAACAAGCACCCTGCTTAGAAATGAAAACACGTAACACAAAGACGACAGAAAAGTTCCTGCTTTATATCCCTAAAAACCTACAAGCATCTAATTCAAATCTAGCATTAAGTCAGCAAAGCAAAATTATCCCATTAAAAGTCTGCTAAGCAGTTTAGGATGTGTATGTAAAGATGATCCTACAACATGAGTGCGTGAACACCAATTTGAGAATAGAGGAGAGAGAACTAAGCACGCAATCCAGCTCAAAAGCTCCATGAATCACTAAGCACAGCACCAAAAGAGGAGACAAGAGAAGCATCAGGAAATTAGAGCTATGGGAAGATTTAGTTTCTTAAAAAGATGTTCAGATAGATTTTTTTACCTGTCGAAAGGCAGTTCCTGGGCAATCAAATGCAGTTTCTGAATAATGTCAGCTGCCTCTTTAATCTGTTGAGAGGAAAACATGACAGAACTATTAAAAAAGATCTGATTGTGGCTATTGCTTTCCTCCCCCTCCACTGTCCAATTTTCATACACACAGTTCCTATTTCTAAAGCTGGTTGAGTTGACATATTCATGAAAGAGATTAACCCCTTAAAGCTTCTGTATGTACTTTAATGATGCTTAAGGCATTTTTGTCTTTAATATAAAGTTATATAGGTCAAAACATGTCAAAAAGTCTTGTTACATGTTCCCACTGGGATGTCTGTGGAGGTGTGTAAGCTACCTGGACAAACAGCTCATCACTGCTCTAGGCCAACATAGATGCAGACAAATGATTCCTCAGGTTTTATTGAATCAGACTGTGGACAGAAGAGTCTCATGAAAATCTGCACCCTTACATGTGGGAATAAAACACGTAACTAACATAGAGGTGGCTGAACTGCAACATCAGATTTCAACAGTGATTGGGATAAAAGCTTTACTGACTCACACCCACCCAGAAGAGATCTCTCTTCAAAACAGAAGGGAAATGGCTTGTCAACCCTTTCAGACATGTCAGGAAAAGGACCAGGAAATTCTTTGCAATTAGTGAAACAAGCTGTATCCACAAAAGCCATGACCATTCTTGACACGGAGAGGGGAGGAAGGGGAAAAGGGGATCAAAGCAGAGCACAGTTGGAGTACCTCACATTCTCCAAATGAAGGTGAAATGGAAGCTGTATTAGAAATTTAAAACTCTGAGGTCCAAAGCACAAGTTAGTTAAAACTCAGTTAACTACACATCTATGAACTAAGAATAGTCACATGAACACAAAAGCTAATAACTGAAGTTAAAACAGCTGGCACATTTCTGCTCTGCCCTGGACAGCAAAATCTTGTCATTTATCCTTCCACCATCAACCAGCACAGGAGGTGCATCTAAGCAGCGCTTAGTGACTGTTTCAGTGGGCTGAATAAAATGACAGAAAACACCAACTTGGCAATGTGTGGAACACAGCTGGATGCAACTGAACTTCAGTGGATTTAAGCAGTGTTGACTGGACCAAACCGGACACAGCTCCGGGATGGTTTTATAGGCTTTACTGTCCTGCCTTGGTGATTCAAAGGCACCTCAAAGGGGTGAGGAAAGCTCTAGCTGCTAGGGGTGTTGGCTGTCAACAGCTGAACATGAGCCAGTGTGTGTCCAGGTGGACGAGAAAGCCAATGGCACCTGGCTTGTATCAGCAATAGTGTGGCAGAAGGACCAGGGCACTGACTGTCCCCCTGTGCTGGGCACTGCTGAGGCACCTCAAATCCTTGGGAGCACTTTTGGGCAGACAAGAAAGACACTGAGGTGTTGGAGCATGTGCAGAGAAGGGAATTGAGCTGGTGAAGAGTCTGGAGCACAAGTTTGATGAGGACCTGAAGGAGCTGGTGGGGCTCAGCCTGGAGAAAAGGAGGCTCAGGGGGCACCTTCTCACTCTCTACAACTCCCTGACAAGAGGTACAGCTAGGTGGGGGTTGGGCTCTTCTCCCAGATAACAAGCAATATGATGAGAGGAGATGGCCTCAAGTTGCACCAGGGGAGGTTTGCATTAGATACCAGTGAAAATTTATTCACAGAAAGTGTTGCCAAGCATTGCATAGGCTGCCCAGGGCAGTGGTGGAGTCACCATCCCTGGAGGAATTTAAAAGACATGTAGATGTGGCACTTAATGCCACAGCCAGTGGTGGCCTTGGCAGTGCTGAGGAATGGGTGGATTTGCTGATCTTAGAGGGCTTTTGCAACCTGAATTATTCTATGATGAAAACCTTTCTAAGCTGCCACAATGGAGAACATGGAGAATATGCAGTTTATCTTGTTCTTCCTGTTAATGATGATCCTGGGAACTGAAGTGAGAGAGAAGGAAGTAATGAAATCCTATTCTCCCACCACTTAGAGCAGGCTGGATTAAAACTTTTCAAGAATAGAACCAGACACACAGGTAAGAATAGAGAGCAGAGGCATCACACTAGGTTGGTTGTTCAGCAAAAAATAGGGGCACTCAAAGTATATCCATTCTGATTACTAAGAGCAGCTTATGTTTTGAACTGTCAGCTTACAATAGCCTCTTAAGCCAAAAGCAGCTATGCTCCTCAAATAAATCCACTGAAAGAGCAGTTATTTCTATTAGCTTACAGCATCCTTAATACCCAACAAATGTGATCAATACCGATGTCAGTAGAATAGTCTATGAGCAGTTATTCACCAATGCTACAAAATCAAACAAAAAAAAACCCCACCCAAACAGGAAAAACCCCAAACACAACATTTTCTGTCTCCCCTTCACACAGTAGCTGTTAACTAACTTAGATTTTATTGAATTCAGGACCCTTTCTTATGCACAAGAGAAGCCATGACAAATCAATTCTCCATGTTTTCTGTGCTTAAATCTGGACATATTTAATTTTTAATTCAATCAAGCTTCTGTAAACTATTAAAATCAAAATAGAGTCTGTAAAATACAACTTAAAGGCTATAATGTATCTGGAAAAAACCTGAAAAATCATGGAAAAATAATGGCAAGAGAGAATTTTAATATGAAATATTTGTAAGCACAAGCTAAAAGGCAAAATGGAATAATGCTGAGTACAGAACATAACAGAGAACAGGACATAAGAATAATAGCAAACACATTAAGCAGGACAGTGTTATTGCATGATAAATAAGTGAGCTGCTAGATCATTTTGATAGTTTAATTGGTTTAACTGGAGTGATTTGCTCATTCCAAGACCCTTCAGTACAGAAGGATTGGTTAGCTGGCAGTGCAAGGGAAATGACAAGGATTCAGAGGATGAAGACACACAATATATAGGATGGGACAAGACAAGAGGGAAAATCTTCACAGAGATGACAAGGTAGAAATTAGCACCCCAAAGAGAGGGCAACATGGGAAGCAACAAACTGAGTGTAAAGAAAAAATGGAACTCAATGGATTTTAAGAACTGACACTAGGGAAAAAAACATCAATTAGGAAATAACTGCATATAATTCCTTTTGTGGCTCTCCTTTCACAGTATTCCCTGCCCTCAATGGCTTGAAGCAAATCCCACACTCGAGAGGGCTGAGCAGCACTAAAAATCATAGCATCCTCCAAAACACTATCTAAAAGCCCTATCAGTTCCAAGGTCTGAGGACACTGACAAAGCACTAAACTTTTACATTGAAGAATATTTGTTACTATCTCATACTTCAGAACTATTTTAGTTCAAAGACACATCAAGATGTAACAGCACATGTCTAGGCAGGTTCTTTTACAAACTCCACTTCTAGTTACTATTTAAACTAGGAGGCAAAACCTTAGAGAATCCACCTGACTGGAATTAATCTCAGGAAGATAACTTGTATCCAGACATTCCTGTTTGTGTTCCCACACACTTCCCTTGCAAACTGGCACAAGTCTTAGGGCCTTTACTACATTTGTCTTCCTCCACATTTGATGAGTGTCTTGTTTTTCTTCAGGGTGCAGAAAGATTCCTTTGTTTACCAATTTCCAGGTTTACCCTATTTATCTACCAGGTTTTTTTCAGATCCTCCAACAGGAAGTATGAGGAAACCTTGCATTATAAATAAAATCAGAGTTGAATTCTATGAGACTCTTGAGCAGACAACATCTAATTCTCTAACTTACGCTTTGTTATTTGCCATACTGCCATTAAATATTTATAAAGTACATATTTTATTACTACTTAGGGAAAAAAAAAAGGAAAACATATGCAAATCTGGAAAAGGCTGTCCATAGAAGAACTTTCAGTATGTTGATATTTTCCTGTTTTCCTTGGAAGTCAGGGAAGTTTTTATGTGTTCCCTCTTGAGTCAGGACAAACTATCGACTGGAGATTATCATATATCCACAGACCATGAACTAAAAGTCACTATGCAACTGACTCCTTGGGAGTACAGCTATATGAAATGTTTAGTTTTCATTTCTCTGAGAGATACACCCGGTTCAGTAGCGAGAAGGTGACTATTATCCTGTTCTCAGGTCTTCTATGAGCCGCATTTCAAGCACTTTTTTTTGCTGAATGTGCAAACCAAGTTTTTTTGCTGCTCCCACATATCACCATTTTTTCCTACCACTGCACAGAATTTAAGGGGGAAAGATTTGTTAGGACACACGCAAAAAAAATACTGACCGACCAACAAACCAACAACTTTACTTATCTTTCAAAGTGCAAAGGGAAATCTAGTATGTGCCACTTAGGTTACAGCTGGACTTTCCTTCAGTTTATTTGTTTGCCACACCACTCAGATTGTATTTGCTTCATCAACATACTCTTGAAGCATAAGAAAAACAAAATGCTTTCACATTTCTTTGAAGTTCTCCTGCCTGGTTCCTCTAAATTCCGAGGGTGGAGACATAACCACAGGACTATACAAAGCCCCAAGGCATGCTGTGACAAAAAGGTATCCAAGGCCAGTGGACTGACCCAACAGAGCAAAGTTTCACAAAGAAGTTGCATTCAGAAAGGTTCTGCATTACAGGGTGGATCTGAGGCAAGGGGTTCAAAGGAAAAAGGCAGATATTGTATGCACTCCAAAGTTGCCCTCCCAGCACTCCTCAAATCTCTGATAATTTCATAAAATGAAAAATGCCAACATTGCCACATTAAGCATCACTGAATACAAATGCTTTATCAGCAATCTGCAGCCCAGTGTTGTTAATTTACATTTCAGAACAATGAAACTTTAACAAGTCAGTCACTCAGTGGTTTGAAGTCTGACCATGGTAAGTCATGGTAGCAGCTTGTAATTAGGGCAGCACCGCTCATTGCTTTGAACTGCTTTCATCCCGCTGACAGCTCTTACCTTTTCAGAGTTTGTAAAAACATCAGACTTCAGCTCTCCATCCAGAAACTCATTAAAGTATTTCATCAGCTTCTGAGCCTCCACAGCCCGTTGCCGTGGCGTGTTTACCCCCTCCAGTTGGTCGCCAAGGTGACAGACCTTAGTTGCTACATAGCTGATGTGCTCATCTAGTTCTTGGAAATGTTGGAAGGCAACCTGGAAGGACACAGACATGGACACTAAACTAATGATTGCTACTTAATGCACTTCAGGAAACACCAGATGCACTTCAAGAGGTAGCATTGGTGCTGCACCTCAGAACCACAGACCTGCTCAGAACCACTAATCAGTTACACACAACCACTGAAGTTTAGTGTCTTCCTTTAAGCTATTGTGAAGACTCTGCTTTCAGCACAGCTAACACTCACTAATGGAGCATGCAGATAAGCCCCTTCGACAGGAGAAATTGTTTTCCATTAAATCTCTTTATTCTTACCTCAAACAGTAACACACTGTACCAAGAAACACTGAAGGAGCACATGATGCTTTTAAAACTTGCACAGCTTCACACTGACTCCACTCTTTAGACTTTACCTGGTTGCTTTTCTGCAGCTCTTGCACCTTCTTGGCAAATTCCTTTGCTTCCTTCTGGCATTGCTGTTCTAGTTTCTCCACCTTTCTTTGAATCCTTTCATCCATTACCTGTAATTCTTGGATATGATTTACAAATTCTTCCAATAATCTGGTTTAGAATAAAACACAAGAAAGCAGACTTTAGTTTGGCATTGTCTTCTGCAGAGAGCTGAAACACCTCAAAGAAATGAATTTGCCTACAAGGCTGATAGAACCATGTCTAATCTAAAAATGCTATTTTGTTTTAAACTACATCACCTCAGTTGTGCAGCACTCTATGCCTACCTAAAAACTGTGTGTATGGTAGGCCAAAGAGAGGGTAATACTAGAATACCAATCACTCCAGAAAGTGGCTCTGCCACAGGTACAAAAATCCCTAAGTCTTACAAGGACAGAGAGAGCTTAGGCCACTACATCCCTTCAGTGTAAGGGTGACAGCAGGAAAATATTTTTTACAGTTAAGTTGTAAATCAGCATCCCACTAACACCCAGTGAATACAGTCAGAGTCTCAATGTTGTTTTGACTGATTTCACTTCTTTTCTTCCTATGCCATGTTAAGACCTTTTTTTCTGCCCTTTACCATCACTCTGATTTTTCTTTCAGACTCACATTTTACTCTTGCCAACCACTCACATCAATGCATTCTTAAATTTCCTCTGTTCCTTGCATTTCATTTAATGTCTCTCTTTCTCATTCCTGTTTTTGTCCATTCTGTCCCATTCCAGTTATCCTTTCAGCTTCTTTCTAAACATCCCAATCACTGATGCTCAGAGAGACTATTCCCAGATCCTCCACAGCCCTAAAACGCTTGCTAATAACTGAAAACATCTGAGACATTTGAGAACTCTGCTGTCCAGGTTTAATGTCAAAGCAGAAGAGGAAAGGAAATGGGAAGTCCTTCCAGGGGGCTATTTCTAGTCTACTCAGGAATCTGCATTTTCACAAACACTCTGTGCAGAAGGTGGATGTGAAGGTCTCCAGCCTGCAGCACTGCACATTGCAGTGCTGCTGCAAGGCAGAATGAGCACACTGCTGCTCTCCTGGCTCCCCGAGCACAGCTAGAAACTCTCAGCAATCAGAAGGGAAAAACAGAATGTATTATTCCACCCTCACTAGTTGTTCCTTCCCAGTAACAACTAGTGCCTCTCCTGACCAACATCTAGAGTTTTCTCCAAGCAAAACCTACATGATACTAATGTGATTCTCTCTACTTGCAGGGAGGGTCACTGTATTTTCAGTTACAACTTCTGCTGCTAAATGATTTGCTTTTACCCCAGTAAGTGACTTAAAGGCACAGCTTCTTAAAGAAAATTGGCCTGGGGCAGATGTTGATGACTTCTTTCCTCCCCTTCCTGCTTTGCCAGAAGCGCAAGAGTAAGCATGTTGCATTAGACACAGAAATCCACACGGAACAGATCTAAGTTTATAGAAGTATATTTAAAATAAAAGTTAAATGATAGTGACACAAAACATACCCTGAAACAAAAGCCTAGAGAAGTGCTGATAGTTTCCATTCATTTTAACAAATTGAATCAGTCTGGAGTCTGTTTTTTAGAACAGATATTGTGCCAACTCAGGACTTACTCAGCAACAGCACCCAATATAGTAAGAAAGGAAAGAATGCGTAAGCAAAAGAGGCAACTGCTGGTCAGGTTT